CCAGTCATATAGGAACAAATCATTGTTTAAATCATTATGCAAAGACCACTTAACTCACAGGTGACATGAGTTTATTTTAAGGAAAGCTGTTTCCCAGCAGCAATTCTCTGCTTGTCACACCTTAGGTTCTGTTTGCCTTGTAATCCACTCTGTCTACAAGATATATTTAAATACTATGGATATGTTGACACAGAGTCTAGGTCCATTTTAACATTGCAAACACAATCACGGCCCGAGCCATCCAACAGAGTGGATAAACACTGTGATCCAGTAAAAAATTGACTCAATTTAACCTCTTGCCAACAAACACACTTGCATATAAATACAAGACCCACCCACTCCCAGCTATCAACCCAGTAGGGAGGGAACAAAGCGCTGCTCTTATCTCACCATATACATTCAGCTCTCACATCGACTGGTCTGACTGCTTGCATGACATCTGAGATTTGAGGACAGGAAGAGAAAAATACACTCAGAGTTGACTTAAATATGACACAGTGAAGACGGCTATTTGTAGTTGTGCCAGTGACTCTACAGGTGAGTGCATTATTAAATTTCACTGACTGGAACTTTTCTATGAATTTGGATTTGGACGTAGAGGAAATTCTGGCTTTGAAAGCTGAGTTTGTTTTTCACTGGGAAGCACAGTTCAAAGTTGTTCTTTATAGTGAGAGTAGTTAGTCTGCAGGGAACAGATGTCTGTGTTATTTCAGGAGTTTTTGTAATTATTTATTCCCCATTTGCAAAGGTTTTGAACACCACAGAGAAAGGTGTTTTATTTAGTTCCACCCATTTCAGATTAGAGATGTTTCAGCGGTATTAATGATAAATTACACCTACTGCGCTAAGCTGGCATGGAGCGGTTGTGTGACAATTTAGCTTACTCAGTGTTTTTCTCTCTAGATCAGCGGTCCCCAACCTTTTTTGCGCCACGGACCAGTTTATGCCCGACATTATTTTCACGGACCGGCCTTTAAGGTGTCGCGGATAAATACAACAAAATAAAACTAGTACCGGTACCGAAGAAAAGAAGATTTATTCATAACACACGTGAAAAGACCCAGGAAAACCGAGTTAACGATAAAAACGATAACAAAATAACGCTGAAAACTGATAAAAACCCTGAAAACCATACATTTCACACCTGAGCCTCAACACTCGCGGCCCGGTACCAAACGACTCACGGACCGGTACCGGTCCGAGGCCCGGGGGTTGGGGACCGCTGCTCTAGATGTTATCCTCGCTGTCATTTTTGACATCACATCTGTGTGAAACAATTCTGGAGCCTGACTTAAACGAGTGTAATGACTTGCAAAAATGCCGGTTCTCTGACTTGAGGTTAGCTTCAACACAAGTTGCCTGCAGAAGGACTGTTGGCTTTGGAAGACCTCAGATTTAGTGCTCATTATGTGGAATGCCACATTTTCTATCCTCTCACGGTCACTGCAATACTATGAAAGTTTCTGCGTATGCACATAATATGCAGACCTGGCATAATTTAGTCACTTTTTGTGGTATACACAAATTTATATTTTGAGATTAAATGACAGCTGGGATGGACTCCAAGGTGAATTCTAAGCAGCTGAGAAGTGCTTTCATCACATGATTAAAGGCAGAAAACTTTGATTAGAAACGGCTGACTGTCACACCTTCAATCAGTTGGTTTCGGTGCTTTTCGGGGCTGACACTGAACTAAATGAACTAAATTTGTTTGGGTCCTCAGTGTGAGTTCTATTCCTCAAAGCAGTTAATCTTTACAGATTGTATCTGCTGGCGGGGGTGAGCTACCAAGCAAACAGCAAGCCAGCTCTTGATTTCTTTTTATGTGTTTTTCGTCAATGAGAACGGTCACAATTTATCTCCTGTCACTTCTATCAGTTAGAAACTTCAGGTGAGATTTATGATACCCACATGAACATAGACTTGTTTGTTGCTTCAAAGGAGCCGATTCTGTGCTGCCTGAACAGTTTTTGCTCGCTAAACAAAACTACCCAGAGACAGCAAGTTTAATAAAAAGCAACATAAAAGTTAAATATGAGCAAAACTAATCAGAAACAAAAACAGCAAATATATAAAAGATAAACAATTCCTATCAAGCCATTGACTACATAACAGCCAGCGCTGCCACAGGAAGTCTACAGTAAATCACAGCACATGTCAGCGTTCTGATGGCACAGACAGATTATATGTCACTTGGTTTTTTTTATGGTTTCTGAGACATGTTATCTTAGCTGCAGCGCTGCTGCTACTGTATTGTTGAACACCAGGAATGTGCTGACAAGTTAATATCTATATATAAATTATACTCGGTGCAACTGTAATGGCTTTTAAAAGCTAGTTGAACATTATGTGTTTACAAGCGACAAAGCTCTGATAATCTTCCCTAGATATTTAGAACAAAAAGGTTTTTTAAAAATTAGAGGTTTGGTTAATTTAACACTTCAGTAAATAGTATTGAGGCTTCATTCCAATAAATGTCAAGACCTATGCAGTCAAAATGCTGAGTAACTAATAAGCCTGTAAAACTGTGAAATCATAATGCTTTGCTTATAGGTCAGAGCTGATCCTGATCCTGATGATATTGAAGGAAGAAAAATCAAACATAGAGTGGCCTACTAATACACCTAGCTCAAAAAACCCTGTCCTCCACATAGTCCTCATTTATGAAATAGCTAGCCAGCGATAATGGACCGTCTGCTGCTTAAGAAGCAATGATTAAAAAGGGACAATACAGTTTAATTATGATTTATTGCAGCGGTCCCTCGAGTTATGTTCTAAAAATAACCCGCAATGAGTGAAATCTGCGAAGTAGCTAGTTTTATTTTTTACAATTACTATAGCTGTCTTAAGGCTGTAAAACCCCTCACTACACACTTTATACACTTTTCTCAGACAGGCATGAACATTTTCACACTTTCTCTCGTTTAAACACTCTCAAAGTTCAAACCTTGTAGAAAAATAAGTCCAGTATTATAGAATGAAACCAAAGGCATCTGCAGGTGACGACGTTTCGTCGACCTTTTTGTTTTTGTTGGGGAGAAAACTTACAAGCATACAGTACAGCACTTCAGAATCACACTGTTTAACCAGGTGAGCTATAGCAGCATCTGTATAGATAGTGGATAATTTTTTTTCATTCATCCCTGTCACCAAAAACAGTACCTAAAGCATTTTTTTTTGTTTAATTTGACTTATTTTGAGTTAGTTATTGTATGTGGTGTAATAGTTAGCCCATCAACCACCTCATGACCTTCTGTGCTTTGGGACAAATATGTTGCTATGCTACATTTAGACACTTTTGACCCAGTTTCACTGCAACTTGAAAACCTATGACAAATTTTAGAGTTAGAATTCATGTACTAAAGCGTAGTATGTATAGTGTTTCATGCCTACTTTAAGCTAGGTGATAATAAAAAGAATCTAGCAAGCTCATACTGACAATTTCAATTTTATTTTCATCATGGCTAGTTTTAGCATGCTAAACAGCGCAAAACACAAGTTCTGCAGGCATTTGGACTGCATGTTTGTGCAGTTGTTAGCTCTATTGTCTCACAGCAAGACATTCCCTGGTTCTGTGCTGAGATTGCATATTTGTCCTTAAGGTTTCCTCTCACAGTCCAGAGAAATGTGAGCTAGCTTAATTGGTGATTCTAAATTGGCAGTAGATTTGAGGCAGAAAAGTGCTTGAAGTGTATCAAATATGGTTAAAATATTGCTAAAATGACCTGATGATGTAAGTGCTGTTGCAAATTTCATTCATATTTGATCAAACGTTTCACTGAACAAATGTGTCAAAACACATTTGGATTATTGTCTGGGAATCTCACATATTTGGAGGCTATAAAATATAAGGATAAGGATAAGTCATACATGATAGCTGTAAGATTAGGCTTTGTCCTTTGAATCCCTGAAACAATTTTCATGGTAATAGTTTTTAAGAAATTTCACTAAAAATACCAAATGTTAACTCAGTGTTGCACTAGGTCAAAATATGAAATTCACCACAGTCATTAGGCTTCATCTACTGGGAGCTGTAATGGTTTGCACATGAGTGAATTCACTAAACTATTGGAATGTTAGATATGACGAAGTAAACTCAAATGAATGCAAGCTTCCAACTAGACAAACCTTAGTTTTCTCATTCATTTTCTTAACCCCTTACTCAATTTAGAGTTGCATGTGGGGCTGGAGTCTTTTCTAGCTATTATTGGGGGGGAAAGGCACTACTGGATAGGTCTATCCAACATATGGGCTTTCCTTTCCATTTATATTTCTCTTTTCCAAAACCAGCACCAGGGATCATTTTATAACGACTGCAGTCATGTTTTGTTCTGTGTTTATAAGGCCATTGTCAGTAATTTCCCATCGCTTTGGTCTTCAGTAACCTTGCCCCCACTCAACCCCAGCATAGCCACAATTAAAGAGTGTAGGGGTATAAGATAAGCTATGTTTCACTTGTGCCTTACATCATATCACAATTTAACCTTGTCCATATTGTATTTAAATCGTGTGTGTGTGTGTGTGTGTGTGTGTGTGTGTGTGGTATGTTTGCTTCTAGACAGTGAGGAAGTTTAACTTAATGGCACATCTTGTCATGGATTTTCAATGGAGCTAATTAACCCTTGCCCTGTTGTTAGTTTATTTACAAAGAAAGATAGTGTTAAGTTAATTCATAACCCCGAGTGAACGTTCTCACACAGAGCTCTGAATCAGCAGTTTAAAGGACGTGGAAGAATGCACAAAGAAAAAACATCAGCAAAATTACACTATGTCATCACAAAAACGTGGGACCGTTACAGAGAACAGCATTTGCATGTCATGAGAACTGTGACTTAAGGAATCCTTAAAAGATGGAGTCCAAGCTGAACTTTTGGATGAAAATGGTTTAAATGGACCATTCTGACAGCCGTCAACAAATTTGTTAGATCTCAAAGTTACAAACAATGCACTCAAGTAGGAATCACTGGATATAAAACTGTATTTGTCCCTCTCTTTCGCAGGAGCAAAGCTGACCACTTCATCGTCAACGCTTCCCTTTTCCTTACACTGTGCTCCCTCTTCTTCCTCTCTGAGACCATGGAGGAAGCTGCCAACACCACAGAAACCCCACCGGCCATACCCATTCTCTTGGAGCGACAAGTTCGCCAGCGAAAGCCTGCAGTGTCAGTCCTTAAATCAAAGCTGAAGCAAGCTGTAACTTGCTCTGTGCCCAGAATCCGATCCACCCTGTCAGGGTTTTTCCCTGTGATGCGCTGGTTGCCTAAATACAACATTAAAGAGTATGTCTGGGGTGATGTGATGTCTGGGATGATTGTAGGTATCATCTTGGTACCACAGGCCATTGCTTACTGCCTGCTGGCAGGGGTGGAGCCCATATATGGCCTATACACCTCGTTTTATGCTAACATCATCTACTTCCTCATGGGGACATCCAGGCATGTGTCTGTAGGCATCTTCAGCCTCATGAGCCTCATGATTGGACAGGTAATAAATCAGAATCTGGTCAATCTCCCACGTGCATGTTAAGCATGCAGCTAAAGATTTTATGTTGTCATTTTCTTTTTTCTACAGGTGGTGGATAGGGAGGTGTTCAAGGCAGGTTTTGACCTCAGTGAGGACTCAGCAGTGTCTAATATTGATGTCCTTAATGATACACTGGGCATAAACCTCACAGTCACTAAAGTTCACACTGTGGAGTTAATGGGTATGCAGTGTGGGAAGGAGTGTTACGCCATCAGCATTGCTGTTGCTGTTACATTCCTGGCTGGAGTCTACCAGGTAAAGAGCACAATTGTTTTTCTGTGTATTCTGTTTTTCAAGCACCTTTGTTGGCAAGATGCACACACTGATACAGTGCTATGAACAAGTGTTGGCCCTCTTCCTGTTTTCTTATTTTTCTGCAGATTTGTTGCAGTTTCATGTTTCTGATCGTCAAACATATTTTATTATTATACAAAGATAACCCGAGTAAATACAAAAATGTAGTTTTACGAACGTTGATTTCACTTAATAAAGAGAAAAAAAGTTATTAAAATCTATCTGACTCTGTGCAAAATAGCAATTGGACCCTAAACTTAATAACTGGTTTTGCAGTCCTTTGCAGCAAGAACTGCAATCAACCATTTGCAATAACAGACAATGAGTCTTTCACATCACTGTGGAAGAATTTGGCCAACTCTTCTTTGCAAAATCATTTTAAATCAGCCACATTGGGGGTTTTGATCATGAATAACCGATTTAAACCTAGCTAAGCATCTCGATCTGATTTAAGTCTAGGCTACTCCAGAACTTAATTTTGTCATTTTCCATCAGAATTTTCTGGTAGAGAACAGAATTCATTCAGTTCCATCAATTACAGCAAGTCACCCAGATCCTTAAGCAGCAAAGCAGCCCGAGAGCATCACACTACCACCACCATATTTGTCTGTTCTTTATTAAATGCGGATGTAGTTTTATACCAGATATAATGGGATTCAAACCTTCCAAAAAGTCCCCAAAATCTTTGGAATGGTCAGGATGTTGTTTGATAATCAGAATCAGCTGACTGGCCTGTCGACCGCACGAGCAGCGACCTGGATAAGATGAACCTTTGCGCTCTTTTTGGTCACCAGTGGTTTTCACTGCCCATGGATGCCATTTTTACCCAGTCTCTTTCTTATTGTTGGATCATTTACACTGACATTAACTGAGGCAACTGAGACAGTTCTTTAGATGTTAGTCTGGGTTCTTCTGTGGCCTCCTGGGTGAGTCATCAGTGTGCTCTTGGAGTAATTTTGGTAGGCCGTTCACTCCTGGGAAGGTTCACCACTATCCCAAGCTTTCTCCATTTGTGGATAATGGGGTGTGTGGTTTGCTAGAGTACCAAACCCTTAGAAATGGCTTTATGACACTTCCTGATAGATATCAATGACTTTGATTCTCAGCTGTTTATTTAAATGTATTTAAATTGTGGCATGATACATTTCATTTTTAGCTCTTTCAGCCTACTTCAGTTTGTCAGACAGGTTCTATTGAAGGTATTTTTTTTATTCTGCATTTTTCTTAGTAATCAGGTCAGGGTTTAGCTAATGTAATTGAACTTGGTTTTTCAAAAAATGGGCTCAATCACAGTTAATTCATGATTTAACAAGGGAGTAATTACTTTTTCACACAATGTATGCAGCCTGACCAAGTGTTTCATCCGACTACAGTGATAATGCTTTAATTAAGGATGGTAAAATAATACAGCACAGTTAGACGATGTGTTTCTGTGGAAGGGTCATTATTATGATGATGATCTCACAGCTATTGCATTAGAATTTTTCCAGTTTTCTGGTATTTATTCTTTTCCTTTTTGGGCTTAAATTTCCACACGTCACACTGGACTTTGGTTTCTATATGCTTCTAACTTGAACCTTTTTCACAAATCGATCAAAACACCTGCAGCCACTTAACAGACCAGCATGTTTTTTTTTTTACTCTCTCTCTCCTCTACATCCTTGTCTCCTCGGCAGGTTTTGATGGCAGTGTTTCGACTGGGATTTGTCTCAGTTTACCTTTCGGCTCCCATGCTCGATGGCTTTGCCACCGGAGCGTCCTTCACCATCCTGACCGTGCAGGCTAAATACCTCCTAGGTTTAAAGATTCCACGTCACCAGGGCTATGGCACAGTAGTCGTTACCTGGTTCAACATCTTCTCCAACATTCACAAGACCAACCTGTGTGACCTCATCACTAGTGCCATCTGTATCTCAATATTAGGTCAGTCACATTTGGATACGTATATAATATCAATAGAATGTAACCTGGAAAAATAAAATTTTCTTTAACATGGATTTTTATTTCACAATACATTTTTATTTCAGTGGCAGCAAAGGAGATTCAGGAACGCTATAAGGATCGTCTGAAGATGCCTCTCCCCACTGAGCTTGTAGTAGTGGCCGGAGCTACACTAGCCAGTCATTTTGGAGAGCTGAACAGCCGTTATGGCTCTAGCGTTTCTGGTCACATCCCCACAGGGTTCATGCCTCCCCAGCTGCCCGGCTTTAGTCTGATGTCCCGTGTGGTGCTGGATGCCATTCCTTTGGCAGTCATTAGGTAAAGTGAAACCAGTTTAACAGCAGGTTGACTTTGCAGGAACATGTGCCTCTAATCTTAGTTATTACAGATACATATCAGTAGCCACATTATTGTCTGGGCGGGATGCACGACTTTGAGTTTTGACTGGGCTTTCCTTTCAAAACACACACACACCTAAGGTCATTTCCACCTCTATTGTTTGTATCTTTTTTAAAGGAAAGTGGTATGGGAAGTTAGATTCTTCAAACTGCTGAACTTTCTAAAAAGCCTTCTTGATCCGTTAAATAATGTTTGATAAGTTGCTAGAAAACATGCTGACCTCAGGTGAGATGAATTTGCAAAACCTAAATATTCACCAAAAATATTATTTTTGTCTTGTAGTTTTGCCTTCACGGTGTCTTTGTCTGAAATGTTTGCTAAGAAACATGGCTACACCGTTCGTCCCAACCAGGAGATGCTGGCTATCGGCTTCTGTAATATCATTCCCTCCTTCTTCCACTCATTCACCACCAGTGCAGCACTGGCAAAAACAATGGTGAAGGACTCCACAGGCTGCAAGACACAGGTACATTTCTTCTTTGACCTGAAGGAATAGTCTAAAATCTCTCACTTGAAGATCTTGGAAAAAAGTGTTCTCACTACATTTAGTTGTTATATTGCTGGTGAAAGCAAGTGACGTACTAAAAATGCCTTGGGGAATACCTTCTGAGTTGTAAGTCATCACTGGTGATAACCCTAACCCTAACCTAAATGGACTTTTTTGCAAAAAATGTGAATGTTTTTTGATGTATGTCCATTAGATTGATTATTTTCTTTTTTTGCTGATTGCCAAGACTTAGTCTGATTACCCAGGGTTAGGTTCATCACTGGTGACAGCTCAGACCTCCACGTTATTATCCTGCTCAAACTTTCCTGTGAGAGAAAACATTTTCTTGTAACCTTTTTCAAGTCTGTCCTGACGTCAAGTGTGCGGTGTTAGTATTTGTGTGGTAATTTGATTTCTTCATAACTATCAGCTCTGTCTGTCTTCTACCATCTCCACCAGGTGTCAAGTCTGATCAGTGCCCTGGTAGTCCTCCTTGTCCTCCTCTTCTTTGCACCTTTCTTCCAAGCTCTCCAGAAATGTGTGCTTGCTTGTATCATAATTGTTAGCCTTCGGGGGGCACTGAGAAAGTTCAGGGATGTACCGGCTAAGTGGCGTGCGAGCCGAAATGACGCCATCGTTTGGCTGGTTGCCATGTCAGCCACGGCTCTGATCAGTGTGGAGCTGGGCCTCCTTGTAGGAATAATCTTTTCCATGATCTGCTTCATCTTTAGGACTCAAAATCCAAAGGTAAGCAAATAAGGTCATTTTAAATGATGCTTATACTAATAATTGGAAAATGATTCAAGTAATTGTGAATAATCTCAACACTCTGGGGTTTGATGTCAGGTCTCCCTCCTGGGCCGGGTTGATGACACTGATTTTTACGAGGACTTGGAAGAGTATAAGAACCTTGTGGCACCATCTCGGGTTCAAATATTCCGCTTCCAGGCTCCTTTGTACTACGCCAATAAGGAGTCTTTTCTCAAGTCTCTCTACAAAGCTGTCGGAGTCGAACCCTTCTTTGAGCTGACCAAAAGGAAAAAGGCAGAGAAGAAGGCCAAAGATGCGTCTGCGAAGCAGGCCAAGGCGAACGGAGAGAAAAATAACGGAGATGTTGTAGTGAGACTGGTCCAAAGAGAATTGGAGTTTCACACAATAGTTTTAGACTGTTCTGCAATCCCTTTCATAGATTCAGCAGGCTTGGCTGCTTTTCTAGGGCTGGTCAAGGAATATAAAGGGATTGGCGTGAGTGTGCTCCTTGCCTGTTGTAACACTTCACTCATTGATACCCTGCAGAAGGGAAAATTCTTTGGTAAGAATGACGAAGACATGGGCAGCCTTCTGTTTCACACAGTTCACGCTGCTGTTGTCCATGCTAACAGGGCAGCTGCAGCCACAGAGAGCAGGTCAGAGGACTCTGAGGTGTAGGTGAGCCAGAGGAGAAAGAGAAAAGATGTGCCCGGTTCATTCCTCTGTTTGATTTCCCACTGGTATTGTGAAAAAATGTTTAGGCAGTATCAGTTTGGGCATTAGATAGCTCTATGATGCTTTTTATAACCCTTCTTTTTAGAAAACAGTGGAAAATATATTTTTAAGCTTTGTGCCTATTAAATTTGATCCAAAGCCTTCTGTTTCAAAGATATAAAAAAAATGGATTCAAAGTGGCAATGAGCAATGCAAGCCAGAGTAAAGGAACGATATGGTGAAGACACATATCCAGTGATAAACCAATGAGACAGAAATGGCTTAAAAAATATAACAAATTTTCTGCTTTTAAAAGTAAAAAAAATTGTAAAGGTTTGAAATCCAACTTTACTACATGCATTTTTAAAATCTTTTTCAAGTGTACGTCATTATATTTTTTCCAAGTAAGATGAAGAAAATGTGGTCCAAAAAGAGCTGCAGTAGGTGTTCTCAGTCAGTAGCAGTTTCGTTTTGTTCTGTCAAGTCTTCTCTTTGCAGGAAAAGGAAATGAGCTGGAGGAGTAGCGACACAAACAAACACGTAGCTTTTTAACTTTTCAGTGCTAATGACTGAATATAGACTTTTGCAATTAGTTTTCAGACAACAGTTTTACATAGTCTAGAGTTAAGTGAACCTGAATTTTTTTCAGGAGCTGTTAAAGCAGAGCAAGCACTGATGAACTCTGAATCTGTGCATGCTTGCCTGTAGTGTATAACTGGATGGATGTTTGCTTTTTTTCATTCCCAAGCTAGTTTCCACTCAGTTTCTGGCTAATACTCTGTGTGCAGTTTTAGTACAACACACATGTGCCACAATATGAAAGTATTATTTATTGCAATGAAAGATAAGTCAGTTCAGTTTACATACCTTGAACCTCTTGGCCAAAGTCCGTAATGGCTTTAACCCGGGGTTGTAGAATCCAGATTTAGAGATTTATCTAAGTGCCAGCTATTACCTTGGACGTTAAATCATTCATAAAAGGCTGGTTAAAGTTTTCCTGACACCAGGAAGGAAAGTTATACGTGACACACGAGGACTATGTGCTTTTCTCAGTGTGGTTAGGTGAGGGTTCATTACAACATGCTAGTACTGTTGGACCGTTCCAATGGCCCAAATGGGGAAAAACCATGGAAAGAAATAGTAACATATGATTAAGATGTATATGGGGACTTTGCTCAGGTGAAAATTAAAACAAAAACTGGTGCCTTGAATCGACGGCAACAGGTGATACCATAAACGTGGACTGATTCACTGCCATTGATTGTTAAATTCTCACTCTCGTATCTTTGCTAAACCACAATTTTCCTTGATCTCTTTAAATCTTTCAATTCAATTCAGTTCAATTCAATAAACGTTATTGGCCCCGAAGGAAATTGGGTAATTTCTTTAAAATTTAAAAATGAATAATAACTGAGACTATCTATGTCAATAAAAAATGATATGTTAGGCTGAAGTGTTGAAAAACTGTCACTGTAATATGATGTGGACATGAGACAACTGTAAATTTTGAAAATCATCATTTTCATACATTTATGTTGTCATCTACCATTTCTAAGATTTTTTTTTTTTACTGGAATCGTGATAGTGACTTTTGTTTTTAGCAGGAGTTTCTTTGATTCTCGTCTTAGAGACAGCGTTGACGTTCAACATCATCAAATGTTTTTTAATGTTTAACACTTAGATTAAACCGTGTCTTTAGAGAAACACCTGTGGGTGTGATTTATTATTACAATTACTAATATTATTGTTAATTAAAATTGGTTAACAAACAAAAGGATGTCATATAAAGAGAGACTACTTATCATTTTGATAGAAAAACATGTATTCAACCTACAATGGCCAGTACTTTATACTTCGTAACTGAGGAAGATCATTCTGAAGTTGTTTCACATTATAAAGATGCAGCTTTTTGCAGATTGGTGTTTGTGAGCTCTGCCTCTCTAACATGATTCGGTTTAAACCCAATCATATTACTGACCTGTTACAAAACACCCTTAATTGCAAAATATTCCTCCAGGTTTTTTTTTTCCTTTTTAATACTTTAGCACTTACTTTTCAACCCTTTTGTTGCCCCTGTCTTTTTTGAGATGTGTTGCTGCCATCAGATTCAAAATGAGGTAATATTTTTTCATGAAATAGTAAAATGTCCCAGTTTAAACACTTGATATGTTTTCTATGTTCTACTGTGAATAAAGTATAGGATTTTGAGAATTTAAAAATCACTGTGTTTTGCTTTTATTTACATTTTACCACATGACACTTTTTTTGGAAAATCAGGTTGTAGTCACAGTAAATTTAGACCTTCATGCATTTACGTGTACAATTCAGACTCTTGTTTCATCTACTCTGTTTTTATCTGGATAGTTAGATACATAAGTATCCCATCTCCTTACTCTGCAAGTAGTAAAGAGACAGATACAAAATTCAATAGATAAAAAAAATAGAATAAATAAAGATGAAAACTGGAAAAAATAGCTGCAAAAAAGCAAAAATAACACCAGAGAGAGAGGGAAGAGACCCCACCATGGTGTGTGCATACAGGTATGTGTGAGCAGTAAGTAACTTTCTAGGACATATTTATGCGTATTGTTTCTGTCAGTTAACTCAGATTAGCAAACTGAGTCGGGATTGCTATAGGCAACCGGCCTCCAACGTTTGATAAATTGTTTTGAAGTCTCGTTGAGTATGTTATTTGTTCCATCTGATATATGCTTCAGGTCTGAGCCACTTAACTGTGGTACACTTGATTGCTTCAGTTAGAAATATTCCAAGATATTATTTAACTCTTGCATCACTGCCCTCTGGTAGCTCACCCGTCATCTATCTTGTGATACAGCCGTATTAATGTTAGTTTCCCATGTGAAGCATATTGCTTAAATTCATACTCAAAAACATCATATTGAGATGACTTTAGTTTGCTTCCCAGTTTGCAGTTTATTAAAAACTCTTTCCTGTTTATTAGATTTAAGTCTTTAGTTGAAGATGCCAGTAGGAGTCTATGTAGGCTCTGTGATAGGGAATGTGAATTCTTCTTTTAGCTATTCAAACCACTTAAAAAGCTTGTTGTAGGTAAGCTAGTACATACTCTGGCAATCTTTTGATTTTCTTTGCATCAGTCCATCTCAAACTGGAAATTGTATTTATTTATTTATTTTAATTGGGACAGATTGCTGTGAAATTTTAGCTTCATTTTTTTAAAAGGCCCATTCACCCACTTTCAGGCCTTTTTTCTCCTTTGAAATTTGAGACAATATTTGAACATAAATACTTGTGAAGTCAAAAGCCTGAAAATTTCACTGGACTATTCAGAATATATAATTTGGGACCGGGTACATAAACAATGAATTGGGGAATTAAACTACGGGAGAAAAAAAACCAAAACATTTAAAGCATTCCTGTTCATTGAGCATAACAAAGAAAACAAAATAGTTGTGTTTCACAATAATGCAAAATAAAATGGAGAAAATGTTTTTAATATGACATTCTTAGTCACATACATGCAGAAAATATGCAATAGAAATAGTCGGGTATAGCTAATATGTATCACACTAGTTATTCTAATCTAAATAGAACAACATTGTGGAGTTTCCATGTAATTTCAGGTGGTAGTAATTACAGGTAGTAATTACAATGGAGAAAATAAGTATATAAAATATAAAAGTATATATTTGAAAAGCATTTGATGCATGAAGATAACATTTCACAGCAATCATTATATATGTTTAAAAGCTGAACTAAAAAATGTTTAGGTGAATTGGAGATGGTTAGCAAATTTCCCACTTGTGGGACTAATAAAGATAAGATAAGATACGATAACTCTTTATTGTCATTGCACAGTCATACATAGTACAATGAGCACTACATATAACACAACACGACACGATATGACACATCACAATGCAACACAAACAACACAACACAGTATATTAACACTAAAGTGTATGTGTATTGCACACTGTTATTATTGCACATTAATTATTATTGCACCTTGTTATAAATATAAATATTATTATTGTTATCGTTTTAAACATTGTTACCTCCCCCTAAAAAAGTCCAGGGAGGTATCCAGTCAGGTCAGCTATTTACATTGATCAGGGCTATTGCCCTGCTGTAAAAGCTGTCCTTGAGTCTATTTGTTCGGGACCTCAGCAGCCTGAACCTCCTGCCAGACGGCAGCAGCTTAAACACCTGGTGTCCTGGGTGTGTGCAGTCCCGTAGGATGCTGCGTGCCCTCTTGAGACAGCGAGTGCTGCACAGGTCCTTCAGGGAGGGAAGAGGATGTCATCTCCCCCTGAGGTGAGCCCCACCACCAAAGGTTTATCTTAACTGTCACACAGAAAGATGATTCGAGATGGAATGACTGTTTTGAGAGGGCACAATATCTTTTATAAATGCAATATTTCTTAGTGCAGAAATTTGGATTTTTTTCCTCTAGATTTTTAGGGTACTGTCAGTTCCTTCACCAGCACTCCCCTCGGGGGGGGGGGGGGGGGGGGGGGACGCCTGAGAAAGGCGGAGCCTGTAGGGGCTCAGAGAGCTTTTTTAATAGTAAACCAATAGGTTTTGACACCAGGAGGTTTTGAGGCAGGCTAATGTTCCTCAGAGGTCTCAGAAAATACAGTGTTTGTTGTATATGTTGTATGTTGTTTTAATAAGACACTGTGTGTTGTGTGTCTATTTTAGGTATTTTTTAGATGTGTGTGCAAAACAACTTGAAACTAGAGACTCTTTCCAGCTCCTCTACATTCATGTTCAGCTGCGGGTTGGCTCTCTGACTTCTCCTAGCTATCAGCTATTTGGTCTTTTTTGGTATGTATTATGAGAATAGACACTGAACTAGCTTTATTCTCAAAGAAGCTCGTTTACATATAGGCTGTAGACAGTGAAATATAATGCAAACTACGGCATTAAAATGAAAAGTTCTTAAAATAAAAATTGACCGTTTCCAAAAATGCTGATCACTGCAGACACTTCTCTGTACAAACAGCCATTAGCTCATGAGGTAGTACACTCAAGGTTGTTATTTGCTTGCATAATGATCATACTTTGAAATATTGACACTGTCTCATAATAACACCGCAGCAGGACTTCATCATACTGTTGCACACTCACACGTTCAAGTATATATGGGACACCCATCTTTTAACTGTAAAGAAATGAAGAGTAAGCAGTTTGTCTGTTTGTACCTGTCAATGATTGAATAACTTTGAACCCCCTTGAAGTCTGCATTGCCACAGTTTCCACACGCGAGGCCTTCGGAGTTAAAATGTGGCTGAATTGGGGTCAATTATAATCCAGACCTAACTAACAAGGTAGTATCGTAAAATACACATTATTTACATCACACTGATGGAATTCTAAAGTGGGAAAGTGGAAGACGTATGAATGCATTGTGATGTCAGAGGTCAGAGGAGAATGGCTACACTGCTTCAAGCTGATAAGGACGTAACTATAGTTAAATAGCCACTCGTTACAATTAAGCTATGCAAAGAGCATCTCTGAATGGAGAACCTGCTGAACCTTGAAGCAGATGAGTTACAGCAGCAGAAGACCACATCAGGTGCCACTCCTGTTAGCTAAGAGCAGAAACTGAAGCTACAATTCAAACAGGATCAACAAAATTGGACAACAAAAGACTGGAAAACTGTTGCCTGGTCTGATGAGTCTTGATTTGTCCTGTAGCATTTAGATAGTAGGGTGACAATTTGGTATAAACAACAACATCGATGCATGGCTTGTATCAACCCTTCAGGCTGCTGGTGCTGTAGTGGTGTGGAGGATATTTTTTGACACGCTTTTGGTCCCTTAGTACCAACTCAGCATCATTTAAACACCACACCTGAGTATTGTTCCTGACCATCTCCATCCCTTTATAAACACAGTGAGCCCATCTGCTGATGTGTCATGCAACAAGGAATGAGGATTTATGCTGATGCTGTGAGGATGAGACATGACTTCTGACCAGGCAGTTCTCATCACGATGCCCATGTATTTAACAAGAACATACTTTTCAAGCTACCAACTGACATGAATCACTTACATTGTGAGCTTTACCTGTGGAGACTGTGAATAGAGAGAAATAGGCACAAAAACCGAGATTTAATCCACATTTTCCACTGAACTCTGCATCATAAATGAGAAGCATTTGAATCAATGCTGCCTACTACTGGTTTTTATGAGACCTGCAGCTTCCTCGCAAACCAAAATGAGCTAATCTTGCACCTCTCTTAAATCACATCAACCTGCTTGGATTTTTAAGCAACTGAAGCACAGAAACTCACAAACAACTGATTTCCCAGCACTTTATTCATTCATTTATTCATTTAAAAATATCTTTTCACATAGGCACTGAAATAAATATTTCACATTGCAGTAGTCAGTGCCACCGCAGTAACATACAAAACACACAAAGGAAAAACACAACCAAACAGCAGTCCAAGCAGATCAAGCATTTAATGCCAAAATAAAGACACTTAAAAAAAAACAGAGTGCTTTTGAGTGCTGCCGTCATGACTGCAGCAGTAAGTGCTCTGAAAAGAAAGACAGAAAACCACACTGGCCTTGGAGTGTAACAGTTTGATCATTTTGTCCTAGTTTAGGCTCAATTGTGGACCCACAGATTGTAGAAGTGCCATTACAGTACAAACAGATAATAAGGCAAACCTGATTGAATAATGCAAAAACAATACAAACCACCAAAAACATATAACTGTCCAAAAGTACATTAATTTGAAAAAGAAAAGGAAACTGACACACATCAAACTGGCCTTGTTAAAGCAACGAGGTGGCGGTTATCAGTATTTTTTCCTCACATTGTTGCGAGAAGCTTCATGATAAAAGGACTGATGGCTGATAACAGATATCTGCTACAGTTGACTGACCTCCCGGGCTCATCACTGAGTGTTATGTTAAGTGCTACTGCTCACAGCAAACTGTGAATTCATAGTCACACGTACCGCTGCTAAAGCGTCATTTCCTCAAAATTAAATATGAAGGAAGAGATCTTGTTTCCTCTCGTCAGACTCATATCAGCCACCACATTAAAACTCCTGTGAGTTGTGGCTGATCTGTTTTACAATAGGGCACAATATCAAAACTGGAAGCGTGCCAGTAGAGATAAATGCACAGTCCTATAATTTGATCAAACAATTGCAATAGATAGACAACCACAGGTCACTTAGCACCTCTCTGATGAGCTGTGCTG